TCCTGTGACGACAGCCGGGCTGGTAGCAGCTCGTCCCTTGTCTCCTGTGACGACAGCCGGGCTGGTAGCAGCTCGTCCCTTGTCTCCTGTGACGACAGCCGGGCTGGTAGCAGCTCGTCCCTTGTCTCCTGTGACGACAGCCGGGCTGGTAGCAGCTCGTCCCTTGTCTCCTGTGACGACAGCCGGGCTGGTAGCAGCTCGTCCCCTTGTCTCCTGTGACGACAGCCGGGCTGGTAGCAGCTCGTCCCTTGTCTCCTGTGACGACAGCCGGGCTGGTAGCAGCTCGTCCCTTGTCTCCTGTGACGACAGCCGTGGCTGGTAGCAGCTCGTCCCTTGTTCTCCTGTGACGACAGCCGGGCTGGTAGCAGCTCGTCCCTTGTCTCCTGTGACGACAGCCGGGCTGGTAGCAGCTCGTCCCTTGTCTCCTGTGACGACAGCCGGGCTGGTAGCAGCTCGTCCCTTGTCTCCTGTGACGACAGCCGGGCTGGTAGTAGCTCGTCCCTTGTCTCCTGTGACGACAGCCGGGCTGGTAGCAGCTCGTCCCTTGTCTCCTGTGACGACAGCCGGGCTGGTAGCAGCTCGTCCCTTGTCTTCCTGTGACGGACAGCCGGGCTGGTAGCAGCTCGTCCCTTGTCTCCTGTGACGACAGCCGGGCTGGTAGCAGCTCGTCCCTTGTCTCCTGTGACGACAGCCGGGCTGGTAGCAGCTCGTCCCTTGTCTCCTGTGACTGACGACAGCCTGGCTGGTAGCAGCTCGTCCCTTGTCTCCTGTGACGACAGATGGGCTGGTAGCAGCTCGTCCCTTGTCTCCTGTGACGACAGCCGGGCTGGTGTCAGCTCGTCCGTTGTCTCCTGTGACGACAGCCGGGCTGGTGTCAGCTCGTCCCTTGTCTCCTGTGACGACAGCCGGGCTGGTGTCAGCTCGTCCCTTGTCTCCTGTGACGACAGCCGGGCTGGTGTCAGCTCGTCCCTTGTCTCCTGTGACGACAGCCTGGCTTGTGTCAGCTCGTCCCTTGTCTCCTGTGACGACAGCCTGGCTGGTGTCAGCTCGTCCCTTGTCTCCTGTGACGACAGCCTGGCTGGTATCAGCTCGTCCCTTGTCTCCTGTGACGACAGCCTGGCTGGTATCAGCTCGTCCCTTGTCTCATGTGACGACAGCCTGGCTGGTATCAGCTCGTCCCTTGTCTCATGTGACGACAGCCTGGTTGGTATCAGCTCGTCCCTTGTCTCATGTGACGACAGCCTGGTTGGTATCAACACTTGTCTCCTGTGACGACAGCCTGGCTGGTATCACCACTTGTTCCCTGTGACGACAGTCTGGCTGATATTAACACTTGTCTCATGTGACGACAGCCTGGCTGGTAACAACACATGTCTTCTCTGACGACAGCCTGGCTGGTATCAACACTTGTCTCATGTGACGACAACCTGGCTTGTAAACCACTTGTCTCATGTGACGACAGCCTGGCTGATATCACCACTTGTCTCCTGTGACTATAGCCTGGCTGGTATCAACACTTGTCTCCTGTGTCGACAGCCTGGCTGATATCACCACTTGTCTCCTGTGTCGACAGCCTGGCTGATATCACCACTTGTCTCCTGTGTCGATAGCCTGGCTGATATCAACACTTGTCTCCTGTGACGACAGCCTGGCTGGTATCACCACTTGTCTCCTGTGTCGATAGCCTGGCTGATATCAACACTTGTCTCCTGTGACGACAGCCTGGCTGGTATCACCACTTGTCTCATGTGACGACAGCCTGGCTTATATCAACACTTGTCTCATGTGACGACAGCCTGGCTGGTATCACCACTTGTCTCATGTGACGACAGCCTGGCTGGTAACAACACATGTCTTCTCTGACGACAGCCTGGCTGGTATCAACACTTGTCTCATGTGACGACAGCCTGGCTTGTAAACCACTTGTTTCATGTGACGACAGCCTGGCTGATATCAACACTTGTCTCCTGTGACTATAGCCTGGCTGGTATCAACACTTGTCTCCTGTGTCGACAGCCTGGCTGGTATCACCACTTGTCTCATGTGACGACAGCCTGGCTTATATCAACACTTGTCTCATGTGACGACAGCCTGGCTGGTATCACCACTTGTCTCTGGTCTCCTGTTTGCCACTCTTCACTCGTTTAAGACCTGCCATTTAACACCTGATAACCTGTGCCAGCTTCTCGCTACATTAGCTCTCTCTTGTTGTCTGTGATAGCCACCCGCAACAGCTCTTTTAGGATACACAGTCGTCATAAACGGGGACTCACACGCACTGAGAGATAAACATGTACCCGATGTGTGGCCATCCGAGACATGTATGCGTGGTGTTTGTTTTGACAAGTGCTTCTATTTTGTATGCGTTGATTTGTTTCATGTCGTTGTCGCTTGTTTATGTTTCTATTTATGTCTGTTATCAGTTTGTTATGTGTGTATGTGGTCAGTTTGTTATATGTACGTGGTATCAGCTTGTTAATTGTGCTTGTATCCCAGCCATTAGCGGCCGCACGTCTGGTGAGAACTGATGTAGGCGTGTGACTTTTCTGTTTTTTGTTTCACCGATTGTCAGCTCCATCGTTAACTAATTGTTGTTGGTCTTTTTCTGGAATTTAACTTTGTTCCGGGCTCTGAATTTTGCTTGCGCATGGGTTGTACAGATCTAGCAAGTCAGTTGTTCCTTCCCTAGCAGGCCGATACACTCCCGGGAAGTCGGTTGTTTCATTTCCTAGCAGGCCGATACACTCCCTGGAAGTCGGTTGTTTCCTTCCCTAGCAGGCCGATACACTCCCGGTAAGTCGGTTGTTTCCTTCCCTAGCAGGCCGATACACTCCCGGGAAGTCGGTTGTTTCCTTCCCTAGCAGGCCGATACACTCCCTGGAAGTCGGTTGTTTCCTTCCCTAGCAGGCCGATACACTCCCGGGAAGTCGGTTGTTTCCTTCCCTAGCAGGCCGATACACTCCCGGGAAGTCGGTTGTTTCCTTCCCTAGCAGGCCGATACACTCCGACTTCGAAGGCATAGTCGGTATTATCTCTTGTATGATGATGGAAAATCTAACCCCCCCCCCCCCCCTACTTTCCGTGTGGGTTCTGGGACCGTTTTGTGGGGAAAACAAGAAAAGACACACTGTTTCCCTTACAAGCATGTCGTAAGAGTCGACTTTTTTGGAAGCTTCCTTTGAAATCAGAGTACATCTGCCAGAGAGGCGAGAGATCAACAGCCCAAATAAAGCAGATCCGAAACGAGGAGGTGTTTAAAAAAAACGCAGTTTCTGAAACAAGATGAAAGTTCAGAAGTGGACAAACAACCGGAACTTTCCCCTGGAGTTTACAGCTGGTGACCGGTAAGAAGAAGAAGAATCTCAGTGTCCGAGTTATCAATGTTTGACCCCACCAGAACATCACATCGAGCGATAAATACCCGGTGACACCATTCGGATGAGGATCACCCGTGAAGAGGTCATAGAAACCTTTCTCAGCCTATAGGTTGGTTTATATTTGGGCCCCCGGCAAAAGTCAGAGTAGGGCTTCAAAATAACGAAAGCTTCTTCTAACACTCGCGAAGACATTGTGCAGTGAGGTCTTTATAAATGTTATTACTCAGACACTGGAGATGGTGGGTGGGGGAGGGAAGAGACTGATGAGTGCTGGAAGTTAACTGGACAGTGCACCCCTGGGGGCCACTACCTCAGAGATCCCCTGCCATCTATGTTTGGACCGATATAGGTTATCATCTAGAGCGCACGACGTGGACGTGTGGCAGGAGTTTTATTGATTGTTAGTAAAACCCAGCACACAGCCTGCAGGCGCTAAAGGTGAAGTACGGGAAATGCTCTTATCAGGTCACTAAGGATGTACATTTTCCTTGAAACCACCGCCCCCACCGCTTTGTGTGTGTGTGTGTGTCTTTGTGTGTCTCTGTGTGTGTGTGTGTGTGTGTGTGTTTGTAAAGCGGCCTGTCCATATGATTCATGTTTCATGTCATGCCTGACACTTGATGGGACAGGAACTGTCAGGTCTCTACCTCTAATGTTATTTAACTAGGGCCGGCCAAACAGCGACAAGAGAACATAACTAGACAATGATCGAACACATATTAGAACAGCGTCAAGAAAGGTGCTAGTCTGTCGACAAATATGAGCGTCTATAACTTCTTTTTGAAACTAATTATTTTCTGCTCTAGTATTAGATGTAAAAACATATCCATTCGTGATGAAGATCCCATCAGTGATTTCACCCCTAATGGCTAGTTCTACGTTGAGGAAACATTCTGTTACACACCCAGTATCGTTTAGTCTATAAAATATAAATCTAACCCTATATGCCAAATGTAAAATGTTCCTTCACTTTATTTGTATTTACAAGGAGGTCATTAACAATATTCTTTCAGTCTCAAATGTCATGAACATGAAAGCGAAATTGATATCTCTGTCACTGAAAACTATCAGATTTCTTCTGATGGTCAAATGACGATGATGATGATGATGGGGACAAAAGATGTGGTGTTTAGACACTTCACAATTCCAGCTTTTTGACACTTCATAATTCCAGCGTATCGTCGAATACAAATATGAAGGACTCGGAATCGATCCACGATATCGACAAGACTGCACAGAATCGACAGTAGTGGAGGGCTTGAGATCTATGGGGCCTTTAAACTGTTCAAAGGGCGTGATGCTAGTGATAATAATACCGATGACGACGATGTTGATGACGATGACAATGATGACGACAACGACAAAGACAACGATGGTGAATATGGCGAACCTAATGATGATGTTGATAATGATGTAGATGGCGACGATGAAGATGGCGATAGTGAACATGGCGAACATAATGATGATGTTGATAATGATAAAGATTGCGATAGTAAACATGGCGAAGATAATGGTAACTTTAATGATGTTGATGAGGACAACGGCGATGAGGCATCAGGAACCACAGACAGCATAAACTAAAGAAAATGTGTGTTGATGTTTTGTTGACACGTCTCCCCATAGATCATCTTCAGTCGACACAGCAGTTCCCGTGACATCCACGAGCTCATCGCCCAGGCAGCTGGGGTCAGCAGGTTAGTGACCGTCGCGTCGTTGTTTTCATCTTTTATCGTCATCTCCATCATCATCATCACTATCGCCAATCACATCATCGTCATCATAATTAATATAATCATCATCGCCGTCATTAATATCATCATTTATCTTCGTCGTTTTTATCATCAGCATTGTTATCAACACAGTTGTTGTTGTCGCTATTGTTGTTATTGCTGACACAACAATAAAAGCCATCGTCATCGTTATCACTGTCATCTATAATCATTACCAGATTCATCATCATCATCTTTATCAGCCGTCGTCATTATATCATAATCCTCATTTTTATCTCTGGGTTAGTTAGCTAGTCAATTGTTGTGTTTGTAGATTCATTAACTGGTCGAATTGTTGATTATCTGACTAATTAATCCTTGAATAATTAATTAGCTGGCTAACTGGTTTATTAGTAAGCTCGTTGATTTAAATTTGTATTTTAATAAATTGTTTTTTTTTTTTTTTTTTTTGGTTATTGATTACCTTATTAATTGTTTGTCCAAATACTTAGTTGGTGAGTTATTGTGTTTATTTATTGGCTGGTTAACCACTGGACTGGTTATTTCGTGAAGTTATTACCCAGTTCGTTTGTCAGTTGCTTCAATATTTGGTTGGCTAGTTAGAAAATCGATTGGGTAAACATGTGACTGATAATTTGGCTGGCTAGTTGGGAAATCGACTGGTTAAAAACACGATTGGTTATTTGGTTGGCTAGTTGGGAAATCAATTGGTTAAAAACATGATTGGTTATTTGGTTGGCTAGCTGGGAAATCGATTGGTTAAAAACATGATTGGTTATTTGGTTGGCTAGCTGGGAAATCGATTGGTTAAAAACATGATTGGTTATTTGGTTGGCTAGCTGGGAAATCGATTGGTTAAAAACATGATTGGTTATTTGGTTGGCTAGCTGGGAAATCGATTGGTTAAAAACATGATTGGTTATTTGGTTGGCTAGTTGGGAAATCGATTGGTTAAAAACATGATTGGTTATTTGGTTGGCTAGTTGGGAAATCGATTGGTTAAAAACATGATTGGTTATTTGGTTGTCTAGTTGGGAAATCAATTGGTTAAAAACATGATTGGTTATTTGGTTGGCTAGTTGGGAAATCGATTGGTTAAAAACATGATTGGTTATTTGGTTGGCTAGCTGGGAAATCGATTGGTTAAAAACATGATTGGTTATTTGGTTGGCTAGCTGGGAAATCGATTGGTTAAAAACATGATTGGTTATTTGGTTGGCTAGCTGGGAAATCGATTGGTTAAAAACATGATTGGTTATTTGGTTGGATAGTTTGGAAATCGATTGGTTAAAAACATGATTGGTTATTTGGTTGGCTAGTTGGGAAATCGATTGGTTAAAAACATGATTGGTTATTTGGTTGGCTAGTTGGGAAATCGATTGGTTAAAAACATGATTGGTTATTTGGTTGTCTAGTTGGGAAATCAATTGGTTAAAAACATGATTGGTTATTTGGTTGGCTAGCTGGGAAATCGATTGGTTAAAAACATGATTGGTTATTTGGTTGGCTAGCTGGGAAATCGATTGGTTAAAAACATGATTGGTTATTTGGTTGGCTAGCTGGGAAATCGATTGGTTAAAAACATGATTGGTTATTTGGTTGGCTAGCTGGGAAATCGATTGGTTAAAAACATGATTGGTTATTTGGTTGGCTAGTTGGGAAATCGATTGGTTAAAAACATGATTGGTTATTTGGTTGGCTAGCTGGGAAATCGAGTGATTAAACATGTGATTTATTATTTGTTTTTTATCTATTCGGGAAAATCGATTGAATAAATATGTGATTGATTCAATGGTTGGCTAGATGGGAAATTGATTGATTAAACATGTGATTGATTTTTCGTTGGCTAATTGGAAAATCAATTGTTTAAACATGTGATTATTTTGTTGGCTAGGTCGGAAATCGATTGTTTAAATATGTGATTGATTATTTTGTTGGCTAATTGGGAAATCGATTGTTTAAACATGTGATTGATTATTTTGTTAGCTAATTGGGAAATCGATTGTTTAAATATGTGATTGATTATTTTGTTGGCTAGTTGGGAAATCGATTGTTTAAACATGTGATTATGGTGATATCGATGGGAAAAATAGATGAATATGGTTATAGCGATAGGGAAAATAGATGATTATGGTGATAGCGATGGGGAAAGTAGATGATTATGGTGATAGCGATGGGGAAAAAAGATGATTATGGTGATAGCGATGGGAAAAATAGATGATTATGGTGATAGCTGTGGGGGAAATAGATGATTATGGTGATAGCGATGGGGAAAATAGATGATTATGGTGATAGCGATAGGAAAAATAGATGATTATCATGGCAACGATGGGGAAAAATAGATGAATATGGTGACAGCGATGAGGGCGATGATGAGGACTATGATTGTGGCTGTTAGGATGATTATAGTGATGATAATGGTAATGAGGATAAGGATGGTGGTGGTGGTGGTGGCAACGGTGGAGGTGTGGTGGTGATGATCTTTATGTTGACGATAAAGATGGCCCTTTGACCCTAGTGACGCTTTCACTGAGGTAAATCATCCCGCCTAACCCATGTCACATTGATGCTTCCACTGAGGTATATCATCCCGCCTGACCCATGTCACATTGATGCTTCCACTAAGGTATAGCATCCCGCCTGACCCATGCCACATTGATGCTTCCACTGAGGTATATCATCCCGCCTGACCCATGTCACATTGATGCTTCCACTGAGGTATATCATCCCGCCTGACCCATGTCACATTGATGCTTCCACTGAGGTATATCATCCTGCCTGACCCATGTCACATTGATGCTTCCACTGAGGTATATCATCCCGCCTGACCCATGTCACATTGATGCTTCCAATGAGGTATATCATCCCGCCTGACCCATGTCACATTGATGCTTCCACTGAGGTATATCATCCTGCCTGACCCATGTCACATTGATGCTTCCACTGAGGTATATCATCCTGCCTGACCCATGTCACATTGATGCTTCCACTGAGGTATATCATCCTGCCTGACCCATGTCACATTGATGCTTCCACTGAGGTATATCATCCTGCCTGACCCATGTCACATTGATGCTTCCACTGAGGTATATCATCCTGCCTGACCCATGTCACATTGATGCTTCCACTGAGGTATATCATCCTGCCTGACCCATGTCACATTGATGCTTCCACTATTGCAGGCATGCCCTTATCTCACTCAAAGACACGACAGGAGCTCACGTGTTTGTTTCCGCCACCATGCCGCTCAACTCGGCCGCGTGAGTATCTCCTTCTTTCTCTTTCTCCATGATTATGGTGACAGCTGTGGGAAAAATACATGACCATGGTGACAGCCGTGGGAAAAATACATGATTATGGTGACAGCCGTAGGAAAAATACATGATTATGGTGACAGCTGTGGGAAAAATACATGATTATGGTGACAGCCGTAGGAAAAATACATGATTATGGTGACAGCCATGGGAAAATACATGATTATGGTGACAGCCATGGGAAAATACATGATTATGGTGACAGCCATGGGAAAATACATGATTATGGTGACAGCCATGGGAAAATACATGATTATGGTGACAGCCATGGGAAAATACATGATTATGGTGACAGCCATGGAAAAATACATGATTATGGTGACAGCCATGGGAAAATACATGATTATGGTGACAGCCATGGGAAAATACATGATTATGGTGACAGCCATGGAAAAAATCAGGAAAAATCAAATATGTTTCCCATCCCTGTCAGCATAATCATCTCCACCGTTTCTCGAAGAAGTTTGTGCATTTATGTCTGTGTATTTGTATGTGTTTTTGTCTGTATATGTATGTAGACGCGTGTGTGTATGTATCACGTATGTCTGTATATGTATGTAGACGCGTGTGTGTATGTATCACGTATGTCTGTATATGAGTTCGCATGTATGTAAACGCGTGAGTGTATGTATCACGTATGTCTGTATATGAGTTCGCATGTATGTAAACGCGTGAGTGTATGTATCACGTATGTCTGTATATGAGTTCGCATGTATGGGAACGTAGGAGTATGTATACCTGTGTGTGAGTGTGTACAGTTGTGTACACATGATGTGTGTATGCATTATTTTATAATTTATATTTCTTCATTATATCCATACCATGCCTTATTGAAAACAGTTATTGGTACTCTGAAAAATGAGTACTTAGAAGGGCCGGATGTCAGACGGGCGTGCGTGCCCAATTTGTAACCCTTTAAAAAAAGTTTGCTCGTTCGTTCGTTCGTTCGTTCGTTCGTTAGCAATATCCAAAGACAAAATACAGACCCTCCAAATCAGCATCCAAAGACTCCACATGTCGTTTCCCTTTTGTAGAGCTACTGAGAAGCAGATCGAAGCAGTGCAGTAATAGTAGTCCTCACTAATCACTTATAGACAAAACACCATGAAGACTAAACCCTGTTCAATCTAGTGACGCATCCAATGAGACTGAGTTGGCCTATGTTTGTGTTCTGCTAATCCTGGCAGGCCTATGTTTGTTTCTGCTAATCATGGCAGGTCTATGTTTGTGTTCTGCTAATACTGGCAGGTCTATGTTTGTGTTCTGCTAATCCTGACAGGTCTATGTTTGTGTTCTGCTAATCCTGGCAGGCCTGTGTTTGTTTCTGCTAATCACTACAAACAGACAAGACAATCAGCCATGCTGGCCGCCGCACTAAAGTTGTCCCTCTACCCCTGGATGTGTCAAGCTGGGTCTGTCCTAGAGCCTTCAGACACTGTTGGGCCAAGACATGGAGATGTTGGACACTGTAGGACCCAGACATGGAGATTTTGGACACTGTAGAACCCAGACATGGAGATGTTTGACACTGTAGGACCCAGACATAGAGATGTTGGACACTGTAGGACCCAGAGATGGAGATGTTGGACACTGTAGGACCAAGACATGGAGATGTTAGACACTGCTGGACCAAAACATGGAGATGTCGGACACTGTAGGACCAAGACACGGAGATGTTGGACACTATAGGACCAAGACATGGAGATGTTGGACACTGTAGAACCCAGACATGGAGATGTTTGACACTGTAGGACCCAGACATAGAGATGTTGGACACTGTAGGACCCAGAGATGGAGATGTTGGACACTGTAGGACCAAGACATGGAGATGTTGGACATTATAGGACCAAGACATGGAGATGTTGGACACTACCTCCCTCTGACCTATTTGTGACTGCTCGTAAACTTGTTATAAATTATTGTCACAGGTTGCCATTATTCGTCTATTTGCTTTAATACAATTACAGTGAACTGGCTACTGAATGTGTTTACCACTTTATGGGGTATTGTAGGACTAATGTGGGAGGTTTATGGGTCTTGGAGGGATGGGTGCTGGATTGTGTGTTTAGGACCGCATTACGGGTGCAGTAGCCATCAACCATTGAGGTTAGGATATGTACTCTTGCCCCCGACAGAAAACAAAGTATCTTCGCATTACCGAAGGCGGTGATTAATTTCTTGATGCATTGGTTGTCTCATTAACTGCTTCCTTGGCTACTTAGTTGGTGAGTTAATTAGGTGGTTTATTTTAGCGATTTACTGCTGGATTCGAACCCGGGTCTCCTGATGATAGCGCAAAATTCAAACCACTGGGCCAGCTTCCTTCGGTCGCCATAGTCAGTCATTGAAGATTTATCACTCGTTTCTGCCTTTGTCATTCGATCTCTGTGTGTGTTTTTTTTATTTTTCCGCTGTTTGTTTTATTGATTACTGTATTGTTGTTGTTTTTCCCTGCACCATTGTCTCTATCTTTCTCACAATGTTCTGTTCTTTGGTCCATGCATCTTTTGTTCAAACATTGTACCTGCCTAGCGCTGCTGCTTCTGTTTTTTGTTTTTATGTTTCTCTCTCTCTCTCTCTCTCTCTCTCTCTCTCTCTCTCTCTCTCTCTCTCTCTCTCTCTCTCTCTCTCTCTCTCTCTCTCTCTCTCTCTAACCTGTGCCTGCCATGTAAACTTTGTCGCGAACATTTCTAGCTGTTTATAGTTAGTTGCCTTACTATGTTCCAGAAATCCTTACAAAGTCCAGACTAAAGACGCCGGCACATCTTCGGGTGAGTTCTTTATTCCTTCATCTGCCTTATTAAAATCATCGTCATCATCATCATCATCAGCATTACATCATCGTTTTGTTTTATATACAACACATAATATCTTGGAGTTACTGCCCTTGTTACTCAGGTTATTTTCTGACCATTAAACATTGACCGCTATCGGAAATAGGTCCCCGAAGTAATGTTGTGTATTCTCGTTCACTGTAGATTTATGTATGTTCTGATGAAGGCTCTAGCCGCAACGTTGACTTGTCGTTGATCCTGTAAGACTGTTTTGTTCTCTTGTCGTCTGGTTTGATATTTTGTCTCTAGAAATTATCATTTAGTTTATGATATAATTAACAGGCTTTTACCTGAACGGTGAATGTTTCAAGCAAACGAATCTTCAAATCATTGATCCCTTGTAAAAACCATATAGGTCATCATTAATCCCTTGTATAAACCATATAGATCATCATTAATCCCTTGTATAAACCATATAGGTCATCACTGATCCCTTGTATAAACCATATAGGTCATCACTGATCCCTTGTATAAACTATATAGGTCATCACTGATCCCTTGTATAAATCATATAGGTCATCACTGATCCCTTGTATAAACTATATAGGTCATCACTGATCCCTTGTATAAATCATATAGGTCATCACTGATCCCTTGTATAAACCATATAGGTCATCACTGATCCCTTGTATAAACCATATAGGTCATCACTGATCCCTTGTATAAACTATATAGGTCATCACTGATCCCTTGTATAAATCATATAGGTCATCACTGATCCCTTGTATAAACCATATAGGTCATCACTGATCCCTTGTATAAACCATATAGATCATTATTGATCCCTTGTCTAAACCATATAGGTCATCAGTGATCCCTTGTATAAACCATATAGGTCATTATTGATCACTTGTATAAACCATATAGGTCATTATTGATCCCTTGTATAAACCATATAGGTCATCATTGATCCCTAGTGTAAACCATATAGGTCATCATTGATCCCTAGTATAACTCATATAGGTCATCATTGATCCCTTGTATAAACCATATAGGTCATCATTGATCCCTTGTGAAAACCATATAGGTCATCATTGATCCCTTGTATAAACCATATAGGTCATCATTGATCCCTTGTATAAACTATATAGGTCATTATTGATCCCTTGTATAAACTATATAGGTCATTATTGATCCCTTGTATAAACTATATAGGTCATTATTGATCCCTTGTATAAACTATATAGGTCATTATTGATCCCTTGTATAAACCATATAGGTCATCACTGATCCCTTGTATAAACCATATAGTTCATCATTGATCCCTTGTATAAACCATATAGGTAATTATTGATCCCTTGTATAAACCCTATAGGTCATCATTGATCCCTTGTATAAACCATATAGGTCATCACTGATCCCTTGTATAAACCGTATAGGTCATAATTGATCCCTTGTATACACCATATAGGTTATCAATGATCCCTTGTATAAACCATATAGGTCATCACTGATCCCTTGTATAACCCATATAGGTCATCATTGATCCCTTGTATAAACCGTATAGATCATCATTGATCCCTTGTATAAACCGTATAGGTCATCATTGATCCCTTGTATAAACTATATATGTCATCATTGATCCCTTGTATAAACCGTATAGATCATCATTGATCCCTTGTATAAACCGTATAGGTCCTTATTGATCCCTTGTATAAACTATATAGATCATCATTGATCCCTTGTATAAACCGTATAGATCATCACTGATCCCTTGTATAAACCGTATAGGTCATCATTGATCCCTTGTATAAACTATATAGGTCATCATTGATCCCTTGTATAAACCATATAGGTCATCATTGATCCCTTGAATAAACCCTATAGGTCATCATTGATCCCTTAAATAAACCATATAGGTCATCATTGATCCCTTGTATAAACCATATAGGTCATCATTAACCCTTGTATAAACCATATATGTCATCATTGACCCTTGTATAAACCATATAGGTCATCATTGATCCCTTGTATAAACCATATAGGTCATCATTGATCCCTAGTATAACCCATATAGGTCATCATTGATCCCTTGTATAAACCGTATAGATCATCATTGATCCCTTGTATAAACCATATAGGTCATCATTGATCCCTTGTATAAACCATATAGGTCATCATTGATCCCTTGTATAAACCATATAGGTCATCACTGATCCCTTGTATAAACCATATAGATCATCATTGATCCCTTGTATAAACCATATAGGTCATCATTGATCCCTTGTATAAACCATATAGGTCATCATTGATCCCTTGTATAAACCGTATAGATCATCATTGATCCCTTGTATAAACCATATAGGTCATCATTGATCCCTTGTATAAACCATATAGATCATCATTGATCCCTTGTATAAACCATATAGGTCATCATTGATCCCTTGTATAAACCCTATAGGTCATCATTGATCCCTTGTATAAACCATATAGATCATCATTGATCCCTTGTATAAACCATATAGGTCATCATTGATCCCTTGTATAAACCATATAGATCATCATTGATCCCTTGTATAAACCATATAGGTCATCATTGATCCCTTGTATAAACCATATAGATCATCATTGATCCCTTGTATAAACCATATAGGTCATCATTGATCCCTTGTATAAACCATATAGGTCATCATTGATCCCTTGTATAAACCATATAGGTCATCATTGATCCCTTGTATAAACCATATAGGTCATCATTGATCCCTTGTATAAACCCTATAGGTCATCATTGATCCCTTGTATAAACCACATAGATCATCATTGATCCCTTGTATAAACCATATAGGTCATCATTGATCCCTTGTATAAACCATATAGATCATCATTGATCCCTTGTATAAACCATATAGGTCATCATTGATCCCTTGTATAAACCATATAGGTCATCATTGATCCCTTGTATAAACCATATAGATCATCATTGATCCCTTGTATAAACTATATAGGTCATCATTGATCCCTTGTATAAACCATATAGGTCATCATTGATCCCTTGTATAAACCATATAGGTCACTATTCATGTTCCGTCCATTATACTTCCCAATTCCATCGTCATCATCCTTCTGTTAGGTTAGGTTAGGAAAACAAAGATAATATTGGACAGCCTGTGCACGTACTTGGTGGGTAGGATAAGAACACTGACCTGCTCTTTGATTCTAGCGATTGTTTGAGATGGCGAATCATTACCGCCTATTTTGATCGACATGGCACACGAGGATATGCAGAACTAACCGCAGCTGGAATGTTCTCCACAAGACCTGCTTCACGTTTATGGAAGAATGATGACGATTTATCATAACTCCACAATGACAACGTGATTTTAACACACGTAGTTTATCTGATGGCCGTTGCGTGTTGCCAGAGATCAACCAGAGCTAGTCTCCTGTCACTTGTAATCACAGAAAATACTCCTATATTTCTTCTTTGTTTCCGTTTTAATTGGCTAATGCTTGATGTCGGTGATTTGATGCACAAGCAGACACTGAGCCGTATTTGGTGGCTCCATGTTGCGTGATCAAAGAGCAGATCCATGGTTGGGTGTTGTGTGGCTCATGCTGCCCGCTTCCTGGATTTGTGCTTCTATTTTTAGAAGGTTCCAGAATCTGTTTAATGGGAAAATATTGATGATTCTATTTCTGCAGCAGCCGATGTAAGACCTAATAGAGACGTGATCGAACCAGGATTGCTCTTGTCCCTTGTGTCCACCTGATCGATGTAGTCTCATTGATGTCTCTTCTCTCTTCCTCATTTTCTTTCTACATTTATTTAAATAGAACTGTTTACTAACAACTATTTACATAGTACATTATTCACCGCTAACTTCAGAGTACATGCTGACCTGGCGTACAAGTCGACACTTAGATGTTTTGCTTAGAATTCTAAGCAAGTCCTCCACTTAAGTCAACTATTTCATACCCACTATTAAAATCGATTCATAAATTAGAAAAAGTCCCCCCCCCCCCCCCCCCCCCCCCCGGTTCCCTTGAAATTAGACCATTGCGTCACAACTGACGGCACTCAAAAACAAAGCGTGTTTAAAATCAAAGTCTGGTGAAACATTCATGGGGCTAAATGATACGATTATCACATGGGCAAAGTATGATAATAATAAATCAGACGTAAGTTTGCAGGAAAACAGTAAATACTGGCTGCAAAAATTGAGGATGCATCGCATCACAAAAAGACAGGAACGGCGCTTGGGCCAGACAACATAACATTGGCAAAAATTGAATCTTTGGAATATTTTGGAATTGAAAGATCATCTGTAGAAAGAGTCAGGCGAATTCTTAGTCTTTTATCTTAGAATGCACTAATGTCAGCACACGTTCTCATACATGTAGTAGAGGGTCTCAAACTGTGGAGAGGCATGATCGTCAACGCCAGTAGGCAAAGCACTTGATGATGATGATCTGCCTGTCTTTTTACACAGTAACTCAGTCGTCTGGCTACTTACTTCACAGTCACTTACTTTACACTTAGATGCCTAATTACTACTTCATGTTTGTGCCCTACGCCCGATTACCAAAGTACAAACCTACCAACCTACCTACAAACCTACCTACCTACCAACCTACAAACCTACCTACCTACCAACCTACAAACCTACATACCTATCTACCAACCTAAAAACCTACCTACCTACCAACCTACAAACCTACCTACCTAACTACCTACCAACCTACAAACCTACCTACCTACCTACCTACCTACAAACCTACCTACCTACCTACTTACCAACCTACAAACCTACCTACCTACCTACCTACCTACATCCCTACCTACCAACCTACAAACCTACCTACCTACCTAGCTTCCCCTCTGGTATGACACAGTAACTTCCCCCCTGGTATAACACAGTAACTTCCCCTCTGGTATGAAACAGTAACTTCCCCTCTGCTATGACCCAGTAACTTCCCCTCTGGTATGACACAGTAAC